TCCATTCCTAATTCTTATGGGAAGTTCATGAACGAAAATAAGGACATAAGGGGTCCTATTTATAGTTTAGGTAACTTAGGGACCAAACAAGATTTGAATGGATTTAATCTTAATCCAAATCCTTTCCTTATATGCATCCAATAGGCTTATGGAAAAACCCAAGGAAACTCCCAAAACCGTCCACCCCGTGGATGGTTCTAGAATTGCTTATTTTGTTTAACTATTAAACAATTACAATTCACTCATTGCACCTTTAATTAATTCCAGTTAATCCCAAATTAATTTCAGATTAATTCTGATTAATAATTAATTAATTCAAATTGATTTATTATTAATTTATTAACCTTATAAATTAACAAATCAGTTGTTTAACTATTGATCTTATATTAATTTATTAATCACATAATAAATTAATAAATCAACTATCTATTTGTAATTAATATATTAATCATATAATATATTAACAAATCATTTCCTCATAATTTCCAATTAGATTATTAACCATATAATAATACAATAATCATCCTTATTTATAATTGTCATTCTAGTCAAGTTTTAGTTACGAGGGCAAACCCAAAAATGACTTTGCTTTTAATTAAAAGAAAATATCAATTTAGTTACTGACTTAGACGCCTTAATCTAATAGTCTCCCACTTGGATAAGTTTGTAACTACAATTGCAAGTGTATACCTTGAACTGACCAACAAAGAGTGCTTTCCAAAGCCACTGCCGAACTCTGATTCAAATCAAATGTTGACCCTAAGATAAGTGATCAATTATTCATTCGTTCTACAAGATATCATATGAACAGCATTGATAGTTTCATTTTATTTATTTCTTTTTATAGTTTATTTTGGCATATTTTAGTTTATTTTTAGTTAGTCTTCATGCATATTTTCGTTTTCCTTATATATATATATATATATATATATATATATATATATATATATATATATATATACATATATATATATATATATATATATATATATATATATATATATATATATATGCTTAGGTTATTATATTCTAACTAATTATTGTGTGAATGTATGAATGATTGTGGGCCAATCAATTTACTTATTTTAAGAAAGTGATTATTACATATTATTGAATTAAATATAATTGAAAAATACCATCTAATTTAACTAGAAGAGTATTTTAGTCAATTAATATAGATTTAATAAAGGAAATTTGCATATTTTAAGGGAAAATAGATTCTATTAATTTTAAAATTTTGATTGTATGGATGATAATTCTCCTAATTCGGAAATTCTGACGGAATATGTTTATCAATATATTGAAAAATAACAAATATTATTTAACCATACAAGAATAAACATTCTGACATAATATATATTTTGATTTAATGAACTTCTTGAAGAATAACAAACCTTTGGATACAAGTTAAAAAAAATTTCATTACATTCTTAGAAAAGAAAAAAATTTATATACTATTCTATGAGAATGTTACACTTATTAATAACAAAGAAATACAATATATAAATCATTCTACCAGAATATACTATTACATATATATTTTTTTCATTACATTGTATATTATTCTGCTAGAATAATCCATTCTTTTTGGAAGATTGGTGGTCATTGTTCATCTTCATCCTATACAATGTTCATCTTCAAGATTCTATTCTGGCAGAATCGGAATTCAAGATTCCATTCCAATAGAATGTTGTAAGTTTCATATGTACCCTGTTTTGCTTTTATATCTCTCGTTTTGTTCCCAGCCAAGAAAACAAGAACATTCGTGTTCTTGATTTCATGTATACCTGCAAATGAGAAATACAACCACTCATTGTTATTGTTTAATCTTCTTTTCATGGCAATTTCAAGTAATAAACACCACATCGAATTTTGTCAATCAAACCAAACAATTTCCTATAAAACATTAACCCCAAAAATCCAATCCATTTATCCATTTCTATCAAGAACAATCAAACCCAAAAACCCATCAACACTCCACTGAATTTTTGTCAAAACAAAGGAAAGAAAAACAAAATCAAAGGAATATCGATGGCCACATTTGGTCTACTGCTACTTTTGTGATTACTGATTAACTTGATAAATTAATATAAACTTTAAACCTAATGCAATGTTTGTTTGGTACCTGTTTTAAATTGATACGTTCCAAGTAATTAACATCATGCTGTAATTGAACCCATAAAATAGATGAACGACAATTCTTGCAAAATTTAAGTTTCATAATGACTAAATTTTGTTAAATTCCATCGCAAATAAAAGAAATATATAATTTCAATGATGAAAATACATTAATACTAAAAAGGAACACAGTGGACATATGATTAAAATATATCAATTGATATCTCTTCACAAGATGACGACGTCGGCAAAAACACGATCTAAGGGATGAATAATAATTTTATATTTGTTAAATCTTTGTAGAGAAAGATATATTTGCATCTAAAAAACTAAACAAAATTGGCCACAATTAACAGCACCAATATTATACGTAGTAAGAACAAGAAAACCAATAAACAAAATCCAAATTAATATGATGTAATCAAACGAAGCGGATTCAGATAGCAATCAAAAATCGAGTTTAATATGAAGTTAACAAACAAACCAGATTCAATTTCGCACATCAAGAACATGAACAAATCGGGGTTGGAGATAACAGCCAGAGAGTTTCTTTGATTCTAAAATTGCGGATATGCCCTATTTTATTCTAAATTAGTTGCGGCGGATTGACGATAGGAAACAGGGGAAGTTGAATATTCTTCAAGTCGGCTGGGGTGGAGACGATGAGCATGGTCGATGATTTTGGATTGATAAATAGGGTTTGAGAAAAAATAAGGTAACTAACCATAATTATAGGGCATAAATATTTTGATTTAACTAATATAATTATTAATTTAATATTAAGATTACTAAAATACCCTTTATTAGGTTTTTGAAATGATTGGCTCACATTTATGCATACATTCATACAATATATAGTTAGAATACTTGAACCTAGCTCTATATATATATATATATATATATATATATATATATATATATATATATATATATATATATATATATATATATATATATATATATATATATATATATATAGAGAGAGAGAGAGAGAGAGTTACTTTCTAGTTTTTGAGCTTTAATGCAGATATTTAGAGAAATGGAGCAGAGCTTGTAGGGAGAATCGACGAATTTGAGCGGATGATCAGGATTATTGGGGCTCATCAATGAGAGTTGGATTGAGTCCATTGATCATATACCAGACGAAATTAACATCTAGCATTCCTCTACTAAATTACACACATATTTAAGTGTTTGGAATTGTGACAAAGAATACGAAATTTTGCATTTAAAAGAGGCAAAATGATTTATAAGCCCAACGAAGTTTCCAAATCGATCAAAAAACCCCAATTAAGTTTTTTCTGTTCAAGAAAACCCAACGAACTTAACCTTTTGTCTAACACCCCCCCCCCCCCCAAACTAACTTACACTTTTGTTTAATTCCGGCTAATGAAAGTCAACGAATGACATAGCTTATGACGTGAAATTAAAAATCGGAAAAATGATTTGTAAGACCAACGAAGTTTCGAAACCATTCAAAAAACTCCAATCATGTTTTGTCTGTTCGAAAAACCCAATGAACTTAACATTTTGTCTAAAAAACCCAATGGACTTGCACTTTTGTTCATTTCTCATTAAAGACAACCAGATTCATTAGGTATACAATTAGTTGGCAAATAACATGACGTTATATTTAATGAGATGGAATAAATAGATTAGAATTATTTTTTATATATCAATGTAGGGCTTGGAGAAGAGAAAAAGGAACGACGTATGTGTTCGATCTCTTGTAGTGGCTACTTTTTTTTTCTTCTTCCTCTCAATCGTTGATGTCCAACTCAAGATCTACAAAGAAGATATTTGATGATGCAAGCCCTTGTGGATATGGACGTCCTTCTCGGATTTGGACATCTATAACGGATGATCATCAAGAGAAAAAGTTCAGGGCTTCTTCGAACAGATGGTTAAGTGTAATTGAAAGCTTTATCATGTCCATCTTCTATATATTTGTTTTGTTCATTCAAAAACAAGAACTTATTAAAATAATCAACCAAATAAGTAGTCACTACAAGAGATCGAACACAGACGTCATTCGTTTTTCTCTTCTCCAAGCCCTAAATCGATATATAAAGGGAAATTCCAATCTGTTTATTCCATGTCATTAAATATAATGTCATGTCATTTACCAATTAATTGTATACTTAATTAATCTGGTTGCCTCTAATGAGAATTGAACAAAAACGTAAGTTCGTTGGGTTTTTCTAGACAAAAAGTTAAGTTCGTTGAGTTTTTTGAACAGACAAAACATGATTGAAGTTTTTTTTTAACGGTTTCAAAACTTCGTTGATCTTACAAGTTATTTTTTCGATATTTAATTTCATGTTATAAGCCATGTCATTTGTTGACTTTCATTAGCCGGTTGACCATAATGAGAATTGAACAAAAGAGTAAGTTAGTTGAAATTTTTTAGACAAAATGTTAAGTTTGATAAGTTTTTTTAAACAGACAAAACATAATTATGGTTTTTTGAACGGTTTGAAAACTTCATTGAAATTATAAGTCATTTACCCTTTAAATATTGTTTTGGCACGAGTAACTTTTAATATTGGAACAAGTGATATATTGTGGTAAACATAAAAAAAAACCTGAAGCTTTAAGATGATGGCCGGTTAAATTCTATGTTAAAGGCGTAAACATATTTAGATTTCTTGCAAGAAAACCAAACAAATAAAAAACCTTAGAAATTATAGAGCATTTTTACAGAGTGAAACAGAGTATGTTATTTTGTAATATACATCGATGACCTTCTAGCAATCATATATACTACCTCGTTCGAAACTAGCTTTTGTGGATAAAAACTTAAAACTATCCTATCTAGTTTTTTTATACACCCGGCATTCTTATGGTCTCTTTGATATTTTGGCATCATAAAGACTCATGGCCTATGGATGACGGATACCCTTTCTATGCCTTACAGCAAACCTGTTGACCAAAGCAAGTGCGTTACTTGTGACTTGTGAAACATAAACCATTCTACTTGTGATAGCATTCTTCACATGTCCATTCATAGAACTATCATCAAATCCCCTTGCACATATGTTTTGATTAGTAAGAGCAGAACCGACCCACGTCTCAGCGTTGCTCATGTGCCACTCGAAATCATGACCCCTGGTTCGAGCCATCTGGTCTAGCTCCTGAACCGACTGGCTTAGACTTGCCACGCTGTTGGTCATGGTGCTAATACAGTCCTTCACAGCTTGGTACTCTCTGGGTTTTATACCGGAGACACGGCCAAGTTTGGATATGAAGACGCTTGCTGACTTGGTGTTGTTCAGGCTGACGGAAATTGCTGCTTTCGCAAGGAGGCGGTCGGCGTTGCTCCCCTTGATTGAACCAGCGTAACTTGAGAGACAGCGGACACAGAGGGAGGCATGAAGGGTGGTTTTGCATGAGGCCCTGATTAAGTCCATGGCGGTGGGACTGGCGGCACCACCATTCACGGTGGTGGTGTACCGGAGGGTGACTACAAGAACTAGCAGGTAAAGCCCAACTCTTTCCATTTTTGGAAGGTTAAGAGTGTTGTAATTTATGCAGGAAACTAAATATTATGAGAGATGAGGGTATGAAGTTAGTGAAGAGGGGTGGAGTGCTTTATATGGTTACGACTACTGTACGTGGGAGGTCTTTAAAAGCTTTCCATCTATTATTAACGTGGGACGTGTATCAACTTACGTGTCCACAGTATAATAACAAAGTTTGACTTTTTGATAACCAGGTTAAACTTCATTAACTTTCTAACTACTATGACTACCCCAGCATCCTATAAGATAGACATTGGAAAAGAAGTCAAATATTATTGTCAAAGATTTACATAACATAATCATTAATTAAGGTTAGTATATGTTTGCTTAGAAAGCTGGTTTATAAGCAATTGTGCAGGTGGTCAATAATATATTAGAGGTACGTCTTTGTCGGTATTGAGTAGGAAGGCAAAGGCTAAGAGGATCTATGAAAATATAGGAAAGACAAGCCAACGGTTCTCAGATTTCTTGAAGTAAACATTGTTTCAAGTGGGATATATAATATCCCAAGTCCAAGCTTCGTTTGTTGTAAACTAACACAAAAAGTTAAAAAGTCATCCACGTAAGTTTCTTTCGTTGTCATAATTACATATCTACTACTTGAGATGACAACATCATATAATGTTTGATACATATGGAAAACTTCATTTACTCTAGAAAAACCCCTGTTTGAGGAATGTAGCAAATATATCCCGAGACATGCGGGACATTGTCTAGCCGAGGTATGACACTAACACTCTTTCCCCAGATAGAAGCTTGGATGAAAATAGATCAGTCGGATGTGTGAGGGAGGAAAGAGCTAAACACCAAATCTAATACTATGTGATATACGTTGAGTTATTGGTTTCGCTCCAAAAAAAATCATTATCGAAAAAGCTAGACTCGAGCATAAACATAAGATTTTAAGTTAATTAGACTAAACTACTTTTTTTTCTGTGTTTTCGCATCTTCGTTTTTTTCTAATGTCATATATAAGGGGACCCGCCACAAAATAAGAATTATATAATGATTAAGATGAATACCACCTTGAATTTAAGAGAATCAACTAGCCAGTAGGTGGTGCATGAGATATTTTATTACATGATAAATTCAAATTAATAAATTAATCATGTTTCTCTGGCCAGGTCATGCAGATGGGTAACAACAACCACATGCTGCTTCCGGAATTTAAGAGAATTATGTCTAAGGTGATTTCATAGTTAGCTTCGATATCACGTTAGAAAACAAGATAAGCATCACTGTGAAACATGATTAGAACGATGGTGGTATGAGAAAGAAACTAAAAAAAGAAAAACAAATCCCAAAAAAGAAATACAAAACATAGGGCTATACCAAAGAGTGTTTGTTTTCTATATCCAGGACTAATTATTCGGAATTGTTTATATCAATGATTTTGGCCCATAAACTTCTTTGTATTTTCGTCACAAATAATGGGTCATACACACCGCATATATTATAATTCGTCACAAATAGTGAGTTATAGAGAGACACATATGTATATTTATAAGCGTCGGACTAACGGACGTCGGACTAACGGACGTCAGTGTGGCTGTTTGATAGTTGTTGACCGAGTAAAATCTAACTGAATCAGAGTTTGAGTGTGTTTGAAGTCCGAATGAATTTACATTTGAATGAAACCATATTGTTTGATTATGCGTCGCTGTGTTGACTGTTGAAAATGATCATTTTACCTTTCTGTTTTACTTTTTTTTCAAATAAAAAATATCTATTTTTTTTTTGTTAAGTAACATTTAATTAAGTTTCTAATGTGATATTCAAATTGTGACAATTATGACCACACAATATGGTAAAACGATAACATTAAAAGTGAAGCCATATATGTTTGATGGGATACATGTGAGTAAAGTATATAGAGTTACAATTTTATTTCTCATCGAATATGAACTAAATAAGATGTCATATTCTATGAGCACAAACAATAACATTATAGATTTGTTCAAGAAAATACTAAACTACAATGTTATTTAGTGCATGAAATTTTCATACATCATACAACATACATACAATGATGTTTAAATTTCACATAAACCAAGATTTCATAAATTCTAATTTTCATTGCAAGAAATTTTAATTTCATACAAAGATCATACAAATAGAAATTTCAAGCATAGATCATACAAGCAAGAATTCTGATTTCAATTTTCATACATCATACAACATATACACATATTTTATGATTTCATCAAATAATCCTCCCTAATAAATAAAGAACTTTTTTGCCACATGTCATTCTCTAATGAGTTTTGACACTTGTTATTTTGTGATAATTTTTAAATATATAATATCCACATGTCAATTTATGGTTTTTTTTTTAATTTTTAAAATTAAAAAGCCACATAATACTTATAGTTATATATGTAAAGTATCAAATGTAATAAATATTATACTAAATTGCAATTAATATGTTTCTTCGTTCCTTATTTCAAAATTTTATTTAAAAAAATACTTATTATTTACATTTTAATATTTTATTTTTTTTAATCAACCCGTGTAATACACGGGTTTTACACCTAGTCTAATATAAAACAAAGAAGAGTGGCATGTTATCATATGGCTCATCCTTTGAGCTTGGAAGAGAGTCCATGGAAGCATTCACTGTCACTGATGCTTCATTGGTAGCCACTAAAATACTTGTATCAGTGTTCATAGATTCATCATGAATTATACTTAGATCATGATGAGAACCTTGTTGTAGCTTCTGCAATGTCTAATCTACATAACAAAAAAATAACAATGATCACAAAAACATAATGATAACAATACAAACACCTCGATTAACTACATTTCAATTGCGATGTCAGATCAATTCTCAATCTGATTGTGTTTCTGATGATGAAACTCGATCTGATTAAATAACCAAAAAAAATCTCAATTATTCCATAGATTTAGTTCCGTTTTTAATTTTCAAATCAAAACTACTTACGTTCATGTCAACTCGAAAAAAAATCGTGAACAAAACCATAAAGGATCATAAAAGAAAATCCAAAACATACTCGATTAACATCACAAATTCGTAACATGTCAATTGAAAAGAAAAAAAAAGTACCATAGATGGACAGAGAATCATCTTTGAGAAGCTTAGAAGGAGTTCGCTCCGTTTCTAACACCTCCAGAGAGCTCCAAGAACACGCCCTTACCCTCCCTAACATCATCTCTATATCTCTGCGTGTAAGAACTTCACAACGAAAAAGTAGAAGAAAGAGACAGAGAGAGATTGGTGGTAAACGTTTTTCCACGGTCGGATTAGAAAGTTGGAAGCGGGAAATTCCATATCTGGAATCGATTTTTCAATCGACATTACATGAGGAACACATTGATGCAGTGAAAGCGTTGACGGAGGAAACTGAAGGAATGTTAGAGGAAGCCGACGACGTTGCAATGAATAGGTGACGGAAGTGAGTAGGACAGCGGCAACGCTGGATCGAGGCAACGATGGACAGAGGTAAAAAGGGGAGAGGTAGGAGGAGTCAGTGTCGACGTCCAGAGTTGAGAATGAGAGACACGGGTTGTGACGTGAGAATGATAGAAAGGGGATTGAGGGTATTTTTCTCAGGTAGTTTTTTTCAATGACCGAGTCTAAGGTTTTTTGAGGACCGAATTAGAGATATGGACTAGGTAAGAGGTTCAAATGTTGATATCAAACATACTTCCTGGACAGCGCCAGCCAAAAAGTCTAACTGGACCCAATCAGCACTAAATCAAACATGACATAATAGTCAAAACTCCCACTATATTAGGTTTAAGTCAAACATTGCATTTATTTTGGAATCTTCATAAATGGTCCATGTGATTTTTCAGAATATCAAATTTAGTCCCTAATTTTTTCGGTCTCATAGAAATTCATTTGGTTTTAATTTTATTCTTAATGGTCCTTGTCCCATATGAAATGACTTATTTACCCTTTTTCCATTTTCTTTTTATTACAATAATTAAAAAAATAAAAATAAATACTACCCCTACCCCTCCACCTCTCTCTCTTATAATACCCTCTTCAACTGTTAAACCAACTTCATCCACCATCATCGTTGGTTACCTTAACCCATCAAGCCAATTCACCCGCATACACCACCTCCACCGTTATTTTCAACTACTTGTTCAATATCCAACTCCATTAACCATCATCACGAACCACAACAACAATCGAAACCACCAATACCCCCACCTCGGCAAGAAAACCTTATTACACTACGACCAAACACCACCAGAAACCACAAAAATCGCAGCCATCTCTGTTTCATCATTAAACCACAACGAGAAAACCAAACAACACAACCCTTATCGCACCACCAAAATACCTTTGACCCACCTGCCTTCTTCAATTACTTGCTTCATCTCTTTCTTCGCCCCTCCAGTTTCATTGGTCGTACCAGCCATGTTGCACCACCACCATCTCCTGGAATCACAATCACAATCCATACACCACCATCATCTTCTCTGTGAGCCATCTCATTTAAGCCACCCTTATACCACTACCAACATCACAACCTGAACCACCAGAAACCACCACCCGATCGATTAAAACAAAAGGGGTTCGATTTTGTGCTTACTGTCATGAATGAAAGAAATAATAATACGTAATGAAAGGAGCGTGTTCTTTTTGAAGAAATCAAAATCCAATTTAAACATATGAAGATATTGAAACCCAATTTAAACCTAACGTATGAAGAACTCGACATCCAATCATCGTAGGAAGATAAATGGAACCTCAAATAAATAGAATCTAATCAGGGTGTGCTTCACTGGAAGTTGTCACCGGTGGTCATCCTTTATGGAACGTCGTTGGACGTCAGCTTCTACAAATCGTACTCATGACGGCGAACACAAATTTGTAGGGTTGTTCTCCTTAGTTTGATTTGTGGTTTGGAACACCTCAAGCTCTCTGATCTTACCTCTCCTAAATACGATTTGTAGGTGATGGTGAATATGGATGTGCATTTGGACCGAGTACCGAAACCGAA